TGGCATTCCCCCTAGTGGGACCGTGTACCTCCTATGTCAGGTGGAGGTCCTGTACACAGGTTAGAAACCTGCGTGAGCGGTGGGACTTTGCTGTCTGTGACTCCCAGCAGATGTCCGGGTAGTTTAGGTCCCCCATGACTACCGCCTCTTTAGCTTTTATGGTCTCCGAGAGTTGCCTCAGGAGCCCCGAATCCCTTTCTTCCCCTTGATGTGGGGGTCTGTAACAGACCCCTACCACCAAATCCCTTTCTCCTTGCCCCCCATGTAGCCTAACCCACAATCCTTGTGGATTAGAGACCTGAGCTACCTCGTGCAGCTCCCAGGGTCTTGCTCTGTGCACCGAGTGCCTGGCCCCGTACCAGGGGTTGGAGACCTGAGCTGCCTTGTGCAGCTCCCAGGGTTCTGCCCCATGCATCGAGCTGTGCACCGATGCCACGCTCCTCAGCAGTGGGGCTGGGGATGCGGCCGGTCACCACTCCCGTCCAGCAAAGAGGTCTTTGGGCTCTTCAGGGCACACTGGCCAGCTCTTACCAGCTCTTCTTCACCCACACTCCTCTCCATCCCTTGTCGCAGCCTCCTGTGTGCTGTGCATATTGCTCTTTTATACCCTCTGGAGGCTCCACCCCCAGATTGTAGAAGGACCAATCAGGGTGACAGCGGGGGGCATAGTCCTCACCTAGGTCCAGGCTCTTCGCCTTGCCCTGAGTAGGTAGGGGTGGGGCAAGCCCCTCTCCAGCCTTCCCAGATTGGTGGGAATACCCTGCCAATTGCTCAAAGCCCTTCTCGAGCCAGCAGTCGGGCTGCTGTCGGCGGGCTCGCCACACATGGGTAGGAAGTGCAGTCTCTTGGTGCTCCGACAGGCAGTCAGACTAGAGGACCGGGTTCCTCTGTGTGTTGGCAGTATCATACATATATTTCTCATCCTCTGGTTTGAATATACACAGTTTGGTACTGACTGTATGTTGTCCCCATCTTATGGTCTATGTCAAACCTTTTTTCTCAGTTTTACTTCAGTTCTCAGTGAACTCCCAGAAGCACAGAAAAGTTGAGCTGGAAGGGACCTCAGGGATCATCTAGTCCAGTGGGGCCCGATGAATGGTGCAGGGCCACTCCATGAGTTGGGTTAGGCCCTGAGTGCCCTCTGCCTGTCTCTGCTCACCTGGATTGGGCCCAGCACTTCCTGATCAGCCCTATGCCACATCTGCCTTGCCCTGTACACTGGGGTCAGGCCCCCCTGACTCCATCCAGCCCAGCATGCTGGGATTGGACCCTGCATTGCCTCTGCTGGGCCCTGCATACCTGATATAACATGCAGGGGCCATATCATCCAGCCTGTGGGACTCACCAGGATCTGGAAATTTGGCAGCACGGGAGTGGCAATTGCTGCCACTTCTCCCTCATCACCAAATTTCTGGACCCAGGAGAGCTTCACGGGACAGGTGACCCAGCTCCATGGGCCAGATCTGGCCTCCAGGGGTTGAGCACTACTGATCTAATCCAACATCCTGCTCAAGATGGGATCATCCCAGTCTAAACCATCCTAGACAAATGCTGTCCAACCTGCTCTTAGAAACCTCCCAGGATAGAGACTCTGCAACCTCTTCAGGTGGCCTGTTCCAATACTTAACTACTCTCATCATGAGAAAGTTCTTCATAATCGCCAACCTCAATTTCCTTTGCTGCAATTTTGGGCAATCTGTGCTGCTGTCATAGCAAACACTGAGGCCCATGGAGCCTGACATAATCCAGCTACATTAGTGGGATGCTCCAGTTCGGGGTTGGACAGTGGTAGGACATCCTGGGAGAGCTTCATCACCGGTACCCAGGCTGCCCCTGTTCTGTACCCAAGGCTTCCTCCACCACAACACGCACAACATGAAGAACAAAAAGAGAAGGGGCAACGGGGCCAAGGCTAGCAGAAGAAACTTAAAATATTGGCACTGACAAAATGTCCTTGACATCCAATTATCACCCTGTGTTTTTAAAGTGCTGAGTAAATGAAAGAAACTACAAGATCAAGCCACGTTTGGTTTCTCACTCTTAAATGTTTGACAGCCCCAGTCCCTTTTCTCTCTCTTTCTCAGAGCACTTTGAACTCATAACCTTTGCTGCCACTTTGCATTCGGCATTTGCAGAATCCGAAATACCCCCGGTCATCCCCAAACTTCAGTAGCAATCACAAAAGGCTTTCAAAGAGATGTAACCTCAGTGCCATGGTGAACTTTAAGCAGCCTCTGACTTGGTATACTCCCATCGTCCATGTACATACAATGGACACAGTCCTCATATCCTGCCAGACTGCCGGGAAACTTATCTTGTAGTGCAGCAACTGCCTTAAACCTAGTGCTAATTTTTTTCATAGGCTGATTACTACCCATTAGGATAGCACCCCTTTGCTATAGACACACCTCTAATTATATTGTCTATACCAATGGTTCTGACTGTTCTGAACCGTACAAACCATCCATAAAATATAGTCGAGATGTCAACAGCACACGTAATGGTAGGATGAGCATTAGTATTCAACCAGGGAGACCCATGAAATAGGCTTTCAGGAGAACTGGTGGAGCCTCTTAACTCTTGACTAGGCAAAGCTATACCAAAGGGACCAATTCAGCACTGGATGAATTGCAGTTCTGAGCAGTCATCAAGGATCCTCCTCCACAGCTAGACCTTAGCTTATTTACAAAGCCTGTTGGGCTCATCTCTTTTCACAACATTTTCCAGCTTGCATGCACAGAGCTAAGAAAATAAAAAATAAAATTAAAAAAAAATTACTACTTCATGCTTGCCTGTTCCCTTTTTTTTTAAAAAAGAAACAAAAAGTAATGAACAGAGTTCTCTCCATGGTGCTGCCTCAACCTGATGTCAAAAACTCATTTGTTTTGATGTGTCTAATGTGAGTAGGTGGATAATAAAAGCTTCATTTAGAAGCTGGCATCTTTATACATACTGCCTGGAAACCCCTGACATGTTGCAATTCTGGAATTTCCCTCTAATGGAAGCACCAGCAGATAATTATTGATATTGCTGTTACAAATTAAACAGAAATAGATTCATCTTCTAAATTGATGGGGGAAACGGCACAGGGCAGGGAATGTGGTGGAAAGCTGTGGTCAATTTAGAGTTACCAGATGATGTACCTGGGACCTGACTCATATACTGGCAAGCTGCCACAACATCATAGTTATTGTCCTTGAACATCCTGGAAATGCGACAGAGTAGAATTTTGATCTTTATTTGGTTTTGATTATCCAGGTATCCCCAAGTGGTTGTTTGATACCGGCAGAACAGAAAGTGTGTAGACAAGCATAGCAATCATTGCATCCTCCAAAAAAAAGACAAAGACAAGAAAACATTGCCCCACTTTGGCCAAAGGTGATGGAAACTTTTATTTCTTCCAAGTAAAATTCATCCCTGTATAGAGGGTGATCAAGTGCACAAAGGAATGATTACAGGGGTGTAGGTTGTAGCCATGTTGGTCTAAGGACATCAGTTTTTGAACCTGAAAGCGTGCTTAAAAATTGTTTTCCAACTATTTAAGTTGGTCTAATAAAAGAGATCAGGTTCACCCAAATAACCTTGTCTGCCAAAGGAGCGATTTTCTTCCAGCGGCCGTGTTGTCCAGGCCACTGGGGTGGTTCCCAGTGTCTTGTGAGAATGACTGTGGATTATTTAACATATTCCTAGGTCGTCACGACAAAGTGGCCTTTCATCAACATCTCAGCAAGAAGGCAGCCCTTCTTAGGGCGCTTGTACACGATGTTTCACTGGTTTAGTTGCGCGTGCAAATACCCATTGACCTTTTTATCGTGGTAGGTTTCGATTTATTGTGGCAAGGCAGACCATCTCTGACACGTTTTAGTTTTACTGTGGCCAATTGTTCCACCAAGTTTAATTTTATCGTGATCCTTCTGTCACGTGTATTCTCACACTTTTAGTGCAGCACCTTCCTAATACTGAGTAACAGGGCTGGCATTGGGTTAAAGAAAAGATGTAGCGGGGACAGTGGCTTGTGTTGTCCCTGCCCTTCCTCCTCAGCCGGGTCAAATCTGGTTCTCCTACAGTGTATATTCCAATTCATTTTGAAAATCCAAGTCTCAGGACACAAATTACAATGTAGAACCAAGGCAGGTGGATGTCTTGCAGTATTACTCTAACCAGGGGTGGGCAATTATTTTGGGCAGAGGGCCGCTTACTGAGTTTTGGCAAGCCATCTAGGGCCGCATGACAGGCCATTAATATATTAATTTATATTAATTTTCTTAATTTTTTCTACCCCACGGGCTGGATTGAATGGCCTGGAGGGCTGCATCTGGCCCGCATTTTGCCCACCCCTGCATCTAAGCCAAGGATTCAGAGGGTTATGGGCTGTAGACCCAACTTTCATGTTGGATGCTGAACTGTCTGGAGCTGTACTGGGATGGTCTTGGCCTCTGCCTCTGGAGACCAGCACAACAGTGCTAAGATGCTGCCTATTTGCATGCAGGAGGAGGCTCAGGCGAAGAAGGCTATTGTGCATTGTGGGGATCATACTCATTAGGGATTTATTCTTCCCCATATTGCATTGTGGGGATCATACTCATTGGGGATTTATTCTTCCCCCATATTGCATTGTGGGGATCATACTCATTGGGGATTTCTTCTTCCCCCACGTAAAATAGAAGCCCCCTTTTGTCCAGCGGGTTGAGCTCCCAGCATTCACGAGCTCCCTGATGAAGACGGGTTGTTCCTTCCCCTCTATGATTTCATGTAGCATATTTTCTGCCTATGAAAACAAGAAGCAAAGCAGATGACACTCGCTTTAGCTGCTGACATAAGTTATTTCATTGAGCCTGCCCTGAAGCTTTCAGCACTGTGGGATGGTTAATGTAAAACTTGCTCAAGCATCAAATAGCAGTAATTTACCTTTACACTCTGCTTGTTGTTTTAGTTTTGGGGTTGGGGGGGGGGTCTCTTTTAATCCTCTTCAAAGATGCTCCTTAATTAAAAACTCACAGATATGAAGCTAGGGAGGAATGTGGCCCGGACCTTCTTGGATTACTACAGGCTGAGCAGCATAGTGGAGAGACCGCTGGCACCCATTCCCAACACACGGTAGGTCACAACACAATTTTTCTTGCTTTTTTTGTCGATATTGTTCATTGTGACTATAGGAAAAGTGTTAGGCTAACTGTTTCTTATTGCACTGCACCTCCATTTTCAGAAAATCACTTATAATCAGAAAAATAACCTGGTTTATGGCTAGAAATAATTCAAGGGGATCTGGAGAGAGGATATCTGCTGCTTCTTTCGTGATAAGTATACACAGTCTAACTCCATTGTCTTCAGTGGGTTTGGTCCTAATTTGTGCTAGTGTAAATGAAAAGAGGATCAGCCCCACTGTCTTTTTTTCTTTTAAAAAAAGCTTTTCATTCGGAAGGTGAAGTGCTTAGTAAAAATGTTGGCTTGGCAGCCTTGAAGATTGTAGTCCTCCATTTATCCTGGAACCAGGGAAGTTGCTAGCAGCCAGGGAATAAATTGCACATACCAGCCCATGGGAAGTCTCAGCCTGGGTAAAGGAAACATTACTCAGTGTGAGAGCAACTCAGACACCAGGCCCACTTGGTCCTTAGCCTCTTTGCTAAGACACAAGTCTAGCAGTACGGCCATGCACAGTCCAATGCGTGCGGAGTTAAGCACGCGGGTAAGCGTGTGTGGGCCTGAGACCAGTTGTAACACCTGTCCTTGGGGCAAAAAGCATGTCTGTCCAGAAATGAAGTATGACCACAAAGGCAGTATGGGCTGGAGAGGGGAGGAGCAGAGAGCCCGGAGTCCCCAGGTTTTCATCCCAGTTGCATTGCTGTGGCTGTGTAGCCTCGGTCAGGGACCTTCAACCTTACACGGCCCCAATTCATGCTGAAATGATAGTGGATAAAGTGCTGTGAACCTGCAAAAGCAATGTATACAGAGACAAGTAGGTTAAATTGGCAAGTAGGTGGAATTGGCAATTGCTAGGGGCAGGGGGCTGGACTCGATGATCTTCCGAGGTCCCTTCCAGCCCTGATGTCTATGAAAGTCTATGAAATCAAGTACTTTGGGGGCAGGGGGAGGGTCTTTGCTTTCTTCTGTAGCAAGGGGCATGGCAGTTTTCCTAGGATCTTCTGAGCAGATATGAACCAACTCCTCTGTTGCAATGACAGGGCATTGGCAGTGCTCTGGTTTGCACTGTGGCACGTTATAGGATGTTTTGGGATATTTTTTCTCATAGTTATGGATGAGGGTTTGAAGTGGGGATTTGAGGGATTCCTTTGGTCACCGACTGCCTGCAAACACAAGAGACTGGACTCGCAGCCCAAAAGGTCCCTTCCAGTCTTGTGTCCCTACGGGCCTACGCAGAGCTGTAGAGGAAACGCAATTCCCATTTCGCAGGAGGCTCTGTGATTTCAGCGGGGGTTTTGCTCCGATTCAGAACAGCGAATGACAAAATCTTCTCTGGAACAAAGCGCTCAAAAAAAGACAAGGCTTGGGGTCAGCCATAATATTTGATGTTGTGGCACAAATACATTTTGAAAGGAGAAGCCATTTCAGAAGAGAAAGTCAAGCGCATTCCCTTCCAATACAGAATAGTTTGACCTTCTTGAAACATTTAGTTTTGATTTTTTCCCTCCCCATTCCCTACACAAAATATGTGTGGAAACATGTGGGTTTGCAGTGAATTGACATTTTCTGGCAGAAAAAGGACATTCCAGCAGAACATTTTGGACCTGCTCTAATGGCAAAGTATTAGCATAGCAGATTTCAGTCTAGGCCAGGACCAGCTTTCGTTGCTGCTTTTGCAAACACGGGCTCTCAAATATGCTAGCATTGTGGTAGAAGCTTATGTACACGATCAGAAGTGACCAGGTCTGTTGCAGTAACCATTTAAACATCTTCCTTTGGGGCCCTCTGCCTTTCCCTGCTGACGACCTTGACACGACAGCTTTGGTCTGGCAGAAGGCAGATCATCATCAGCTATGCAGCTCTTAGTGCTGTGGCTCTGCAGAGAGGCAGAGATGAAAAGCAGCTAGTACCTTCCTCCTCTCTTCTCTTGAAAATGAATGTATGATTTCTTCCAGACTCCCAGTGGCCACTGCCTTGGGGTCTGGGTACCCAAGACTATTACCGAACCTAATTACCACCTGGCAGCAGAGTGTTTTACAGTAGCTGCACTTGGGTACTTCAACATAAGGATATTTTTTCCATAATAATAATGTTACTGTTGGTGATAAGAGAATCATTATAATCTCACCAACTATCCCTGTCCCCCTCTATAGAGACAGGTTCGCCAGAAGGGAGATATAAACACACATGCAATAATTTTGCACAGTCTCGACTTTTTTGTTGCCCCAAAATTGGGGAGGGGTATCTGTTTGTTTGGGCAACTGCAATGTGGTTAATTTTCACCCCAAAGACAATATATGCTTAGGGAACAGATCTTAAATGATTCATGCTGTTAATTCCTGATGTCTCAGTAAATGTCAGAGTCTTCCAGTAGGCAGACAAAAAAAAAGGCTTTATTATTTGTATTCCTGGCTTTGTCACACATAATGTAACACACATAATGTCACACACACCCTACACACATAATGTAACATAACGTAGGACAACACATATACTATGCTATACTATACTATACTATACAGTTGATCATACCCTATACACACAATGTAATTTAGTGTAACTTAATGTAACATAATGTAGGACAACACTTATATTATATTATATTATATTATATTATATTATATATTTCGTTGATGCTTTCTTGCTAACTGTGAACCCATATGAATAGCGGGCCCCTGAACTACCTGAAAACCAGTTCTGAAGCTTCATGTCTGGGTTGGAAAAGAAATGACAATAGAAATGGATTTGAATATGTAAAACAGTATCAAACATTTGTCTGATCAGGGCTAATTATATAGCACAGTTATCAGCATGAAGCAGGGCAAGTTTTGCTTACAGATGATGAAAGAACAGTAAAACGTTGACGGATTCTCTAGACTCACGAAAACGAGGGTGCAGACTCGTTAAACGTACTATAGAAAACGAATAGGATGCTTTGGCCCAGCTATCAGACGTGGGATGATGTATGTCCGAGGGCATTTCTGAAGCAGGCAGGTTCTGTGATTTTGCAGTTTCAGGAGTGCCCATAGGCTAGACAGATATTTGGCTGGGGGTTTTAACCCCAGCACTCGTTCCTGCCCGGGGCAGGGGGTCGGACCTGATGATCTGTTTAGTTCCCTTCTGACCCTAAGTACTATGATACTATGATAGGGCTTGTTTGATGGGAAGATCTCACAGCTCGAGGTCCTGTGTCATCATCATCAAATGGCAGGAGGGAAAACAAAGGCACGGAAAGGAGAAATGACTTGCCCGGTGCTATAGTGCAAGTGAGGAACAGGAACAGACCCCAGGAATCGATGGCTAGGAATGGATCCCTGTTACGTGCTCGGTGCACTATAGAAACCCATCTCCTCTCCAGCGGGGTGGGGTGTGGAAGGAGAGGGTGGGGTGAGAGGAAGTCCATTTCTTTGCACCCAAGTGTCTTTCCTCCCTGGCCACCACAAAGATTTCCAACCAAACTCCATACAACATTGCCTTGCCAACACCCACCATCCTACTTCTTCTCCCTGCTCCTTAGAAACGTGTCCTTCAATCTCAGTGGGTCCTCCCAGCTCTGGACTTGATCTGCCATCCTCCTCTCTGAAACCTCTTTCCCCACTGCCACCCTGTGATCTCTAAGCAAACGCCCCTAAAAAATCCTTAAACAGCAGCCAACCTGCAAGATCGTTTGCATGACAAGTGGTTGTTTTCCTAAGGGCAGAAAGGGCAGAGCTTCCCTGGTGAGATCTGCAAGCACGCCTTTAGATGATCCAAGAGAGGGAAGAGGTTATAACATCCTCATAAGCGTGCTAATGAATTAAAAGCATTGCTAGAACCACCGGGCACATTACAGAGGCAGAATAGATGAGTCCTGGGAATCTCTAATGAAGCCACCGAGACCTCAGCCTTACAAGTCGTTTTTCTGATCGAGCCGTTCGAGGAGACAGCGTTGCAGGTGAGCGACACAGAGATGCGGGCCAAGACAAAGCCTGCCCTGCAGCCCAAATGTCCTCCTTCAGATCCAGCAAAGTGAGCCCAGACCTGGAAAGCGCTGTCCAGAAAGGCTTCCAGGGACCTGGCTGTTAATGAAGGGCAGAGCACGCATCTGCCTTTCATTATGTGACGACTCTCCTCTCAGCCCTGCAATAAGCATCAAATTCAGCCACAGCTGAGCTCCGTGGCGGGGCTCCAGCTGCATCTTCGGTGGTATTATATGCAGGGCAGGTAGCAGTGCTTACGATTAAGCCTGCCTGACACTTCCCATAAGACCCAGTGTTCAGCTGCTTCTGACTTTGCCAAACTGATCGCTAGGGCTGAAATCCTCCACGGAGGTGGATGGTTTAAACCTGGCCCATGAGCCATGTGGGTCACCTGATGGAAAGCTGGGGGAGGGGGGAGGGATGGGGAAGTTTGCTTATTTAAAAAAAAACCCAGGAAAATCCATGCACCCACCCAAAGATTAAAGGCCGCTAAGTTTGCAAAGTGGAGTGCTGAAAAGCAAGGAAAAGCCAGACCTAGTCTACCTGTGCAACCTTGCCTCCATTCCCTGGTGCATATGGTCTGTTCTTAGCTTTGGTCTCACCTACCGTATTTCTCCACCTGCTTCCTTCAAGGAAAAGAGTGGACCTGCTCTGGGGATGTGCTGGGGGTGTGCAGTGAAGGGGGACATTGTCGGCTTCATTGCTTGCAGAAGTTGGAAGGGCTGTGATAGTGGGGCAGGGGATCACAAAGAAGAGAAGGGATAAGGTGTCTGAGTCGAGATGCGTGGTCTATCTCCACTTCCTCTGCCGAGTCCAGGGATGTGACCACGGATGCTGGGCAAGCCACTGACTCCAGGCTTTACAGGTAGTCATGGCCGGGGCGCTCCTTGTTCTTGGCCACCCAGCCCCGGGGTCTGTTTTGTAAAACCGATGATTCCCACGCGACTACAACTGAAGTTAATGGGAGCTGTGCGCCAGGGGCAGAAAGTGCTCTAT